GAGAGAGAGAGAGAGAGAGAGAGAGAGAGAGAGAGAGAGAGAGAGAGGAAAAGAAAAGTGAGTTGTTACTTTAAAGAAGCTTTAGAATTACTTTTTGGCCTTTTGGACAGATAGACTGGAGAGAGCGGGACACAGAGGGGACGACATGCAGCAAAGGTTAGCGGGTCATATTTGAACTTGGGAGCCCATGGAGCTGGATTTTTACAGGGAAAGTTCACGACTTCTTTGTGTTTTGTTGCACCTGTGTGGTATGCACCCAGACTCTCCCCTTCATTCCTTAACATGTTTCTATCTCTCCTTCCACACTCTATTTGACAGCCTGCGCAAGCAAAGACTTGAAGAGTATTAACTTAGGAATGTCATGAGATAACAGGGGGAAAACCAATACACATAAGAAGCAAATCATTAAGAGGAAAGTGAATGCACAGATATAGCACCTAATATATCACGTCAAAAGTGAAGTTTAGATAGAAATGTAAAGGAAAGTATGTTTCAAGATGCACTTAGATCTTGGATGATATCTAGTGTTTCTTTGAAATGAGTTGATGATTGGTTTGACAGTTGTGCGTGTGCTCATGCGCATCCTCCATCGAGTGGATCAAAGAAGGCCAGAGAGACTGACATCTGGCAACGAGCAGTTCACTCTGGCAGGCAAAGACTTGCTAAGAAAAACATAGTGTTGCAATCAAAACTGATATCCTGTGACATGCTGAGGACCTGATATGGCAACACAGTCATACCGGCAACCCCACGCACAAACGCTCCGCAGAGACTCACCGTTGAAGTCCTTCCTGAGTGTGTGTCGCGGTGGGTGTTTGGGCGAGCGGTCCAGCAGGGCGTCCAGGCTCTGGACCCGGAGGCTGCAGAGCTTCTCTTCCCCGTCCTGCTCACCACTGCCGAACAAAACCATGTGGGGCTGCAGGGAGTCACTCACCTCTGACACCGCTGGGGGACAATCCAAAAGTCATGTGTTACAGATGTGACTGTCAAACCACCGTCTGCGTACTCAGTAGTACTCAGTCAATACCCCAAGCTGCCTTACATTGTCCACATGTTCCTACCGTCTCTCATCTCTGCCCCGAACACCATTGCCCGAGCACCAGACACGCCGACACAGTGCAGAAGCGAGTGCTGTCGGAGGTTGTGGTTTATGAGTGCAGCCTCCACGCCGACCATAGCCAGACCCAACCACAGAGCCACCACCAAGGGCTGGCTCTCCATGTACACAGCCACCACGTCTCCCTCAGCCCACCCCTGTGCCAGCGCCCAGTGAGCCACAGCATGGCACCGCTCTTGCAGCTCCCTGAAACTCCAAACCTGGAATAAAATGAAGATGGAAATGCAGTGGGTCCATCCATCTCGGTCAAACGACATTCAGCCGTAATCCTCGACGAGTCCTCACCTCTCCTGTCGCCTCGTAGATCAAAGCAGGTTTGTCCGGGTGCAGTGTCACCACCTGGGCAAACAGGGCAGGGATGGTGCTTCCATTTCGCAGATTACGGCTCATGGAAAACCTTACCCGCAGGATAACGACCAGGCACCTTTTAGAGAAGAGTTGAACAGGGGTGAATGAAAGAAAGTTTGAAACAGGAATGGAGTAGAAACACGCATTAAAATAAATCCTTACATTAAGTCTCTTTTGATGGTGCGTAGAGCGACATGCAGGTAGTTCCAGGAACCCCTCCAGACCATGAAGAGCCCCAGCCCTGCCAACAGGCTGCAGAGCCAGGGCAAGGAGAGCAGCCTGTCAGCCCCAAACACAGCGAGGCACGCTGTGCCACCACTCATCAGATGCATGGCACTAATCTGTGTGCGTACAAACAGTGACTTCGTGCACAGAAACCTTCATAGTACATAGTACATCGTGGTTTGGTGAGAAGAGGCTTACCTGTCCCGAGAGTTCCAATCCTGCTCCACCAAGTCAAATAATAAAGACAGGAGTCAACAGCACCAACGCGCTCCTACACGAGTCCAGAGATGTATCAGTAAACTTTTTAAGTGGAGCTATAATAAACGTGATGAGCGGCAGCACGTCCTGGATCTGAATGCGGCGCAGGATACAACTCATAAACTCCTGCGTCACGGCAGCATCGCCCCCTGCGGTGTGATCCCCCCCCCCCACCCCGGGAGAACAACACGTAGAGTCACATTTTTAATAAATCATGAATGTCTGTCTGTCTCATTTCATTCGGGAAAAAATATTGTTCGTTTCATGAGAAACTCGGAATGACACATATCGTAAATGGCCGTGGGGGATTCATTTACTGGAGTAAATAATGAGCAGTGGAGGAGTACAAGTCATAAAAATGCGTTTTTTTATTGTCAGCAAAGTGCATCACAACTTAAAGCGCGGTAGAATGGCGCCAGATATAATATTACATAACAACATACAAGCAGAATCTTAGAGCAGTTTGTTCTGCAAATTGTTAGCAGTTCATCTTATTCTGTGAGCTGGAGGCTACATGTTTGGTCTGTCAGGTAGCTTAATTACAATTAATGCTGGGATGCGATAAAACATATACTGGTATGACCAGTATGTAATGTTGTCAAACTTTACAGAGATCTTGCTGCCTAATAGACATTACTCACTCAGTTTGATATATTTATGAATCCTGCTACATTTAAAAGTTAGAGTCTCATTTCAAATATAGCTGAGTGAATTATTGGGCTGTCACCATCCACCACAGATATAGTGAAGGGTTGTAATGTTTCACAATCATCATGTCAGTGAGTCATCCATCTTGATGTACTGTCTGCAACAGTAAGCGGGCGACTCTCTGCAACTTTGAGTCATTCTGACTAATTTTCATCAGTCTACTATGAAATGTATCTCTACATATCTACATATCTATATATCTATCTATCTACCCACCTACTATACCTACCTATCTACCTCACTATCTATCTATCTACCTACCTATCTACCTCACTATCTATCTATCTACCTACCTATCTACCTCACTATCTATCTATCTATCTATCCATCTGCTGAGGACTAACGCTAAAAAAAACACTACAGATTTTTCAGATGAAATAGAAGCTTTAATGAAAATGGTGGTGCATATTCTTGAAAGAAAACAGTACCAAACAACATACAACAAAACAAAGTAGAAAAATAAGTTCATACACCTTCAAAGTAGAACAGCTATAGAAGGTCTAGATCTAAAAATAAGATTCTTACATTCACAAAATGCTGCATAATGCACATAGCTTTTTTTTGTCACATAAATACATTTTGCAATGCATGAATAAAACGTATCGCTGGTCACAAAAAGAGTGCAGCCACACATGAGAACCCAAGAACAGTTTAGTTGTTAAACCAACACATACGTGGTCTTAATCTGGCTCATAGATGAGAAAGGGAGCAATTCAAATACAAACAAATGCTGCAGGACAAAACCAATCATATAAAAAGACAGATTTTTTGTATTCCAAACTAATAGCTTTTTTACAACAAGTAAACTGTTCAGGTTCTGTGAGTGAGGCTGGTTCTCAAGTTGATGGTTGCACCATTTGAGTGAAGATGTGCTGGATTATCATTTTTTCACAATGTAAAAGTGCAATAACACAAACAAACTAAGGTCTGTACAACTCCCATTAGACCTCATCAAAACATGTTGAAGTTCTCATTTCTGGGATGCGATAATTCACAGTCACTGACAGTCTGTGGAGACATTGGCTAACGTGCTGTAATAAGACAACATGACAACAAAATGGAATTTCCTTGCATAAACACGGTTTGATTGCAGGAAGCTGCCGGCTCATCAGAAGGGTGGGTCTGTTTTTGTGAATTTGCCGAGCAGCTATTTTGGGGCTGAATTTGTTTTCTTATTAAAAGAAAAACACGTAGCTTCACAAACACTTGTGACAAAAGGCTCATCTCAATTGCAAATCAATTGCAAGAAAATAATATCCATAAATAGCCACAAGTGATAAAAAACAAATCACTTATTTTGTTAAAAATCAAGAAACAAGAGACATAAAATCCTTGTTGGAGCACATGTTGGATCTGCAGGAACCATGAAGGGAGCTTCAGAGGAACTGGAACATATTCATCATCAGTCAATTGATTCCTTGCAATTTAAATACAATACATGGATTCAAAAAGCACACCCACCCTTATTTATTTTACATAAAACATTTATAAAAAATACAGCACAAACTGTTTGCTCATGCTTTAAGCTTGAAGAGGATCACTCATATGTTCTTGTAGCCTACATAATGTAGACTTTATAGTCTGCATGCTGCTATTGAAATTAAATATTCTACGTCAGTGTGTGTGCGTCACTTTTAATCCTTTGAAAGGAGATACAGCTTATATTGGGATTATGATATGTTTTTGATGAACCGATAAGATATTGTAATATATTTCACTTTTATTTAAAGAGTTCCTGAATAAAAACCTTTAGTAGTTGGCTACTTCTTGTCTGCTGTGACTGTAATGACACTAAATAACAAATTCAGTCATCATCAATACAACTTGATCCACCATTTACAGCACTGTAGAGCATCATCAGTGAGGAAAATAAGCAAAACTAAGGAGGTAAATAGCAGACTTCCTGACCCATAATGCAATTGATTGGCAGGCGATGCCACTCATATTGGTGGAGTTTCTTGGTTGTAAAGAATTTGGTCTTCATAATGTCTCAGACTTGTGACCTCTTGGAGGCCCTGATTAAACAGTTGGTATAGTGGTACAACAAAACTGAAATGGTTTCAATTGACATCATGGTAAGAAAATAATGACAGATTTTTTAATTTAAGTCTTCCAAACCTTTAAACTTAGCCCAGATAGGTTAAAGGTGTGACAGTCTGTCTCTGGGGTACAATAACTGATAGAGCGCTTCATATTTTTGATTCTCCGGTGTTCTGCCCACTCCGAGAACCCTGAATGAACACAAACAAAGATCAGAAACAATGTAAGACAACGCTTTGTAATGTGTTTGCCTCAATGGAAGAAGTATGATTTTAATAAAGTAAAAGTAGCAATACCACAATGTTAAAATACTTCATAACCAGTAATTGTCTGACATTCAAAAGTATATTTACGTAAACATTGTGTACACAAGTATTAGGTAGTATAAAAAGGAAATACTCAAAGTGCGGTACTGCAAAATTGTACAAAAGTACCGAAGTTGAGTATTTGTGTTTGTGGTAGTGAGTAAGGTCCCATTAAACTTACTTGTGACTGACTACTGGAGGGATTGGTACTGCTGAGGTCGGAGTACCTCTTCTTCTGTGATGTGCAGACACAGGAGAGGAAATGGGCGTACTCGTCTCTCACCTGCAGGGGGCAGCAGAACATCAGAACAAAGATCCACTGCTCAAAACCCTGACATTTCTGTCGCTACACTTTCTCTTGTAGTTTCATCTGGTGTGTTAATATCTTACCTGCATGCATACCGACCCAGTTACACACACACACACACACACACACACACACACACACACACACACACACACACACACACACTCACACACACATACAGCTGCTGTGTCCTACCTGTTTAGACAGCAGGCAGTGCATGATGAAGACCAGTGCTCCCTGCAGGCTGTTGAGGATAGTGAAGATGTATGCTTCCACCGTAGTACCCTCTTCAAACAGGAAGGCCCCAAACACCCACATCAGACCCAGTATGCACATCTGGGCGATGGCTGTCACTGTGAAAGCTCTGCAGAGGAGGAGGATGGGGGAGGGTGGGTTCAGAGAAAAGGCAACAGATAGAGAATGAAAGGACAGATTAACATGAGCCCAAATACCTGGATGACTCAGTTATCACTGCAACTTCGGGAAAATCCTTAAACAGTGGAAAGAAGAGATGAATATAAAAGATTCGTTTGAAGGAGAAATGCTTACAGAGGAACACTATTTCAACTCTGCATGGGCCTTGGTAGTATTTGGTGATACATCCCTCTTATTCCCATTAATAGCTAGCAGTATAATCCACAGGGGAAGTGGGGAAGCAGCATGTCATTAGAGAGCAGAGTTGGTACTAAAAATAACATGAGCTACATTCTTTCCATCCATGCATTTTTCAGGTCCCAAAGCTGCATTCGGCCAACATACGTATTGACGTGCGCAGTGGTTTAGGTGAGGTCACATTACATCACACATTAACAACACACAAAGCCAGGCACTGTTACACGCAAACAAGCCCACACACTGACTTAATTTTATGCAGTTTGGAGAGGTCTGGGTTGAGGCTGGTGAACTTCAGGGCCAGCTTCCAGACGGTGATGATGAAAAAGAAGACATTGAGGATGATGATGAAGCACACAGGACTGTAGAAACTCCAGATGAGGCCGTGTTCCAGAGACAGCCAGCAGCTAGATGAGAGGAAGGAAACGCATGTGCATGACAAAGTTTTCCTGAAGTCACAGCGATAGATAACAGCAGGTCTGTGTAATGCACTGACATAACTGCTATCACACATTAAGTATTCAAAGACAAACGTACTAATGGTCGGTGCCGTATCCGTTTGGTCTAATGATGGCAGATATAGCGACGATAAGGAGGGGTGTCCCATAACCAGTGAGGAATAGGTAGAGGGGCCGAATGCTGGCGTTGAACACCAGGACCACCATACGGTACAGCTGCACCCCTTCTAACAGCATCCAGGTAAACACTCCCAAGAAGAAGTAATGGAGCAGCGCCGCAACGAACCTGCAGCCGCCCTGTAATAATGTGAGCACACGAAGAAAGAGATCAGAGGACTGAAATGTCTCACAGCACCAATCAGATCCAGATAATACTTTAAATAAGAAGTGTCAAAGCTATTTTTGATGATCATGACCGTAGTTAGATTACAGTCAGATAAATCAAATCAAGACCATAAATGCACACACTGTATAGTATTAGAAGTAAGAATCCTGCATTCAAATTGTTAGTAAAAGTATTGTCAGTAAAATCAAATTCAGTATCAAAAGTAAAGTATTCAAAACTTGTAACTTGTATACAAATTCTGATATGTTGTGAAGTACAATATAAAGTTGCATAATATGAAAAGTATAAGATCCCCAAACTACTTAAATACAGCAACTATCCACCACTGATTAAGACACATGAGTGACAATTCTATGCCATTCAGAAGTGCTGTCTAGTCGAACAATAACAACAAACGAACATCCTATTTGGCCATTTTGTGATTTTCCGCTCCACTGTCAGCCTTTTCAAGAAAAGTACTGTCGGTGAAAAAGCCTCTGAGTACAATTTATTCTCCTTTTTTTTCCTTCAAGATAACCACAGGGGTGTAACATGGCAGGAAGACATGCTTGAGGTTGAACATTACAGAAACGCTCTCATGTTGAGAGTTAATGCGAGGAGTGCCTCTTCCCATTGACTTTGTTGCATGTACACAGGAAAATTAGTGGAAAAGTTCAACCCAGTCTAAACGTTTTAATCAAATTACTTTCTTAGTAAATACAACGTCAATCGTGATGATTGCAGCAGTATGTGTGTAGCTGCAGTCGCTATTTGCTTCACCAAACATACCACAGGTTTAGTTTGTGAAATGCCAGCCAGGAAGATGAGGTCAGCCATGAAGAGGCAGACGCAGAGGTGCAGGTGGATGGTGGTGCGGGTTCCTTGTATGGAGCGGCAGAAGTTGAATGTCAGGATGCACAGTACGAGGCACAGCAGGGAGATGGTCAGCCCTATCTTGGTCACCAACTGGAGTCCAAAGGTGTGCTGGTAGAGAAGATGCGGTAGTTCCAGAGGTTATCATTTACAACATAATGTGTGTGTGTGTGTGTGTGTGTGAGTGTGGGTGTGTGTGTGTGTGTGTGTGTGTGTGTGTGTGTGTGTATGTGTTACTCTGACATGTAGGGGAATGAGGAGGAGAAAAGTAAGAAGCATTTTATTGTCCATAAGCATTAACTAATCTTTTGGCCACTTGGAGGTGAAATAAACAAGCTGTAAACACAACATTGATATATTATCACTTAATAAAGTTGATAATGACAAACTTGTTAGCAAACAGCTGCCTATTTACACATTGAACTGATACATTATCAGTCATTTGGAGTCGTGTTTCTGGCCACCTGACGAATGTAAGTTCAATATTTACTCTCCTCTTTGGTCTCTACACACTCCCGAGGTAAACATCTGCGTTATTTAGCTGCTAAATAGTTCACCAGCTTATTTCTAACGTCTCCTTTTGCTGCTGGTTTAAGTTATTCATCAGAGCTTCTTCGCTAATACAGCTGCCTGCTGCGGCCAAACACTGCATGAATAAATTAAAAGGTAATAATGAAGTAAATAATCACAGAAATAAATTGTGGAAAATGTATAAATTAAACAATAATTTGTGAAAAAAAAGAAATTAAATCAATAAAATAAAAATGTATAAATATTCTTTTTTCCTAAAGCCCTTTTCAGGTCCAGTAACACTTTTTTACTATATGTTGTTACTTTTCATAATGCAACAAAGGGTTTTTATGGCGTGTGTGCTTCTTACCTCCATGTCGTAGAGTGCCATGAGCACAGCAAAGCTGCTCAGATGTTGACATGTACACACAGTGTGAGTGGCAGTGGACTGCAATTGATAACAACCATCTGTGGACCAGGCCCCACTCTCGTTCCAGTAAGCACAGATGTAGCTCAGCTGAGCTGACTCCACATTGTCCTGTGAACAAAACAATACCGTCATGTCAAAAGCAGGCTTTGTGTATATGTCTTTCTTCATATTCCAGTACTCCCAAGTGTTTTGACTACAATGATTTAAAAAAGAAAGTAGGACCACACTGAGAAGACGGTGTGACCGGTTGGACTACCTGTAGATGTCTGAGGGTGATGTTGACGGGGCTGCTCAGGTTCTGAGTGGATGGGTTAGAGACCACAACAGACACAACTTTAGAGGAGATCTGAAAGGAAGGACTCACGCCGTCCTTTTCATGTCCTGTGAGCCCGTCAAAGGACCGGTTAACAGTTGTCTCAAGGTTCTTGTAGCTCAACAACGCAGCCAGAGCAAAACCTGTAAAAGACGATACGGAATATGATAATATTCATTGATAAACCACTGAAATGTTGCCTCGTTGCCAAAGAGAGGAGAAGTTTACCAGGGTATGATTCCATCCCAGCTGCTGTTGTCCAGTCAGTGTCAAGTGTAGCATTGTCATTGGTCAGATGGATTGGTCCAGTGGGGGGAGTCTTTCCCCTCTGCACTGCAATCTCTATATCTATTTGAGCAGATGACTCATTTCAAATCACCCAGTTCACATCAGCTTTCCCACCATCATGTATTGATCTCATGCATGCATCTTCTCATCCATATAAAGGCCTGTGAGCTTTTTACAGTATAATACAATATGCAAATCACAACTGAGCTCGTGGCCACTGGTACCTGTCTCAGTGGTGGTTGTCTTGGTGCGTCCGTCTTTGAGCTGCGGGCCGATGAGCATAATAGCGTTCTCCACCGCAACGAGCAATCCGCTCACATCTTCACTGCTGTCCAGGTGACCGGGGGACAAGATGGCCTCGGTCGCTGTGAAAAGTTTCTGTCCAAGTTCCAGGACGCGAGAGGGAGAATTGAGAATATTGTATGGGTTTGTTTGTGTACGAAACGTGTGCGATCGTGTTTCTGTATCTGCTGCTCTGACCTTTAGTAGCACCTTTCCATCACCGGCGGTGCTTGGGTCAGACAGAGCCAAACAGCTGTTTCTCATCATGAACAAAATGTCTGCCAGGCCTCCAAGCGACTGAGAGACAGAGACGGGGAGAGAGAATAATAAGACTATTCAGTTTGCCCTACTAAAACATGTGTAAACTCAAAACTACAGGGTTGCAGGGAGGTCTAGTAAATTGAGGAAATTGGTTGAAATATTCTTAAGAAAACCCACTAATAATGTTGTATCTAAACATGCAGCTTACCGGTGCAGGACCGCCGTTTCCATTGAAGCTGTCACAGTCAAGCTCTTGATGGAACGGAGAGAAACATCAGATTATCATCTCACCGGTAGGGTTTGATACTTCACTCCAGTATGCAGTGAAAGACAAAATCTACGCAGCAAAAACAGCAGCCCTGAACAGAACCTCATCCTCATCATCTCATGAGACACACGCCACAGGTTATCTGGGATCAGAGGAGTCAACACAGAAAGTACCCAGAGCTACCACAATGACGTGTGTGTTGGGAAGTTTATCCAATCAGGGCGTGAACATGTAGAAGCTTCCTATGAGGTAATAATAGATAGTGATGGAGAGGAATTGCGTATGCATTCACTCACTTGAGCATGTTGTCCTGTCGTTGCCATAATTGGTGTATCCTTTTGAACACGTGCACCAGTAACTCCCATTTCTGTTTTCACAAGTCCCGTTTTCTCCACAGAGGTCTTCTTTGTCAGCTTCTTTGCATTCATCGATGTCTGTGTTAGAAGAGCAAACAGAGACATAATCACTGACATTCCTCATGGGCAAGGATTTCAGAGAGACCAGTCTGAAACCAATCCCAATATAGCAGGTATTGGAAATGGAAAAAAAACGTTTCTGTAATGTAACTACGGGCACAGTCATGTGAGTCATTCGCTGTTGGCAAATGGAGCTCAGACAGTTCTGAACTTTGCCTGCAACCAGTGTGAGATGTTGTTAAGAGCTGCAATTTGTACAAGCGGGAGGCAGGAGATGGCTTTGTGGTTTGGGTCAGAGTCCAGGGAGCTACAATAGTTGAACCGTGATGAAAACAAAAGCATGTAGGACCTTCTCGAGATTAACCCGGATATGACACGGTTTTTTAATTTTGGAAATGTTGCGTAGCTGGAGGGAAGCTATGAACTCCCTGATTCTTCCATAATTGTTCAGAGTTTTATTAGAATTTGATAAACGTGCCCATATGTATCCTTGTTAAATTACCAGCGATGTTGTCAGAGCAGTCGTTTTCTGTTCTTTACTGAGAAGCTCCAGGATTTAGCAAAAGAGGACATTATCACTACAATCTCTCGACTGTTCGGATTACAGTAACTAAAAAACAAAAGAAAACAAGAATAACACATTCTTCTCCTCTTGCAAAAGAAAAGAGGAGATTATTTCCAGTAAAGCAAACCAATACTTTTTTGGGGGTTTTGCTACTTCAACCTCACCTGGTCTGGTATTACCAGTAGTTTGTGGTGGCTAATATTAGCTGATAATACGTAGATACTGCTGTATGACAGAGATTACTGAGTCAGTTTGTTTTATTGCGTTGCTGTTAACTCTTTTATAATTAAGGCCTCAGCATACTAAGTATATGTTTTGAAGTATTTATGCGGGTTCGGAATGTTGCTTTACTTTGCCATGATGACGTGCTACTTGTCACGTTGTGGTAAAGACAGGAAACCCTGCTACCATGGAGTGCAGAGGACACGTGAGACAGCAGGTGTGTTGCTCAATCCTCTTTCAGATGATCATAAAATAGCAGAAGTAGCTCAGATGCTTTTGTTAACTTTAACTTTACGTGTTGGCAGAGACAATGCCATTTTCATTTGGATTCAGCCAAGAACAGTCACATGAAATATGTGTTTATTAGTTTGTAATGTTTACAGTGCTGCCAATATGTGTGGTTTTTTTGTGTACTTGTCACACAAGCCATTGACTGAAGTCAGCCGAACCAGCACTGAGCTTGGTTTTGGTTTTGGACTGTAATAGCTAAAGTGAGGGCAAAGCGCCTGGTCGCTTACATTCACACCTCCACCTCCATCTGTTCCATCGCACATACATTGAATAAGTAGACAGTATTCACCTGTGCAGTTTCCAAGGCTACTGGTGGCGTCGGTGTACCCAACGTGGCAGGTGCACTTGTAGCTCCCAATCAGGTTGGTACAATTAGCAGCGTGACCACAGGTATGTGTGTGATCTCTGCACTCGTTGATATCTGACAGAAGAACAAGTGAAGATGGGTGAGACCGGTTCGACAAAAGAGAGACACTAATCACACACGCTCACACACACGCTCACCTTTACACTGTCCATGCGTGAAGTTAAGCTGCCCGTTAACTTCTGTGAAGCCCTCCAGGCACTGGCAGTAGAAGCTGCCATAAGTGTTAATGCAGTTTGCGTCCTTGTCACATGGTCCTACGATGAGTCCTTGGCACTCATCGTCATCTGTGTTTCGATAAGAATAGAAAAAACAAAGAGAGTACAATTATATTGCTAAATCTCACAGGTCAATCCACTAATAAAACATTATTTTCAGTAGATGGTGAACTTGTCATTTTGATTGTAAGCAGTCTCTATCATTAGCTGTTTTTCTTTCAGCTCCATGTTTAAATTCTCAGATCACCACGATTAGCTTGTTTTTGGCTAATCGTGGTGATCTAAGAATTTAAACATCTCCTGTTGTTTTCCTTGCAATCCACTCTGGACATGAGTGGTGCTTAATAAATGCCTAAAATGGAAAAACAACGAGGAATATCACCATAAAAAGGATTATTTTCTAACTTCAGTGAGAGGTATTGCAAAAGGAACACCACTTCTTTCTGGGAGCTCTTGTCTTTAGTAAAAAGTCACAATAGAAAAATTGGTAGACAGAAACAAGACAGTGGAGAGGGATGGTTGAAGTTAGAGGTCATGGCAGATTATTACCATTACATACACCGGATTCTGAGGTGCTAAAGCCCCGGCCACAATCAGCGAGACCTTCGCTCAGCATACACAATAGGCCTGTGGGGAAAGAGAGAGAGGCCATTTAGTTTCAATTCACATTAAGGATAATCTTACAATAACAAGGTAGACCTAATAAAGCAGAGCAACTATACCTGTGTATTGTGCCCCTTTTTTAACTTTATTTAGCCATTCAGGCCTTTATGGGAAACTTCCAACCATAATTCTTCCCTGAAAGTGCTTTTGAAGAGCCCAACTAAGCCTCGAGTTGGCTACAAAAGCCACTTCCCTGGTGATGGCGCAACATTTGATCAAAAATTGTAACCCACAGCAGTCGTGCCCCATTTTGATTTTTTGCCAACGCCCATAAGAGCGCTCATCAAATTGCAACATAATGAAACAACTTGAATTACTTTCACTTTTGCTGCGGAGCTATCACACGATTTCCAGAGATGAAGCTTTTAATTTGCATGTGAAAAGGTACCAACAGTGGCTCGAGCATTGCTCAAGGGATCAGTCTCTGTGTCGGTCAGTTGGTCCAACACTTTGGTCCAGACTGAAATGTCTCTGCAGCTTTTCTATGATTGCAATTTCTGGTCCCTAGGAGATACATCCTAATGATTTTGGAAGTCGCCTGACTTTTCATATAGCGCCACCAGCAGACTCCTGACTTTTCGGTGGAAATGTCTCAACAGTATTGGGTGAATTCCCATGAATACGGTAAATGTTACACCTGCTAACCATCTGCATGTTAGTATTGTCACTCTGATCATGTTAGCTTGTTGACTTTAGTGTTTAGCCAAAAACATTTGTAGCCCTGGTGTAAAAGTAGGCTAAAGGATTAAAGCAAGTTAGTTCCTAATAAAGTTGGATGGAAATAGTTAAGTAAAGCAATTAAAGTGAGAGTAACACATTTTCTCATTTTCCTATTGTTATTGGTTATTGGTGTAAACATATGGTTTACAAGTAATGAATTGGTCTTCTGATTTAATAGAGGTAATGTTGTTCAACGTAATATTTGAATTTATTTCAACTGAGAGGGTAAATATAAGCTTTGTACTCTTTTTAAAAAGCAGTCAATAAATTGTTATTCCCTTTCATTCCAGATTCTTGTCTGGGGTCAGTTATAGTCAACTTGAAGAGATCGACTGCTTAGGTCATCAGTTTCTTTGTTTCGTTGTCGGGCATTATACGTTTCGCTCAAAACAAGTAGCCGAAACCTTTGTGGCAGCTACTTTAGGAAACCAAACCCGTCTATTTTACTCTCCATGTGACCATCATTTACTAAATGAACATCATGGTGTATTGGAGACGACCTAAAACTGTGCATGATTTTAGTGATTATTTTCTTCCTCCTGCGAAACTCCCCATGACCCAACCCCTTGTTCCTCAGATCATTTACAAACCACAACAGACACTTGTCAGTCACATTGTCTCCCCCCCCGTCTGTCCGTCTGTCTCTCTTCCTGTTGCATTCACTTTGGGCCTGATAGAAAGGGGAAGTTATAAACACCGCCAACGTGTGTTACCTGTTGCCAGGGTTTCTCTCTTTGTGTATTGTGTGACATGCATATGAAAGCAACTGCAATTCCCTAGGAACCAAAGGACTCAGTTCACTCTTATAAACAGTTAAGCTGACTTATAAAAGCTGTAAATTCACATGTTAACAATTCAACACCTATTTCAAACTGATGGGAGCAATCGCTTCTGCTGACCTTTGAAAAGACAGTTCTGAAAAAAAGTCAAATAACTTCTTGCCTGAACACCTTAGTGCTCAGTAAACATACAACATGATTTTATTGATCACCAATAAAACAAACTATGGACAGGCTCAAGTTATTGCTCGACATCCTACTGGCATATGAATTTAGGCATTAATCATGAGCAGCTGTTCTTACTCTTATATAGTCTAAAAACATCATTGGACACAGTACTGTTGTAGGGTCACACATCGTGGAATAGCTCCTTTTCTCAAAAACATTCAAACTTTCACACTTGAATGACATTCTGACAGAAATATTTGCTGCCTGTTGCTGCAGGAAACAAGGCTGGTGAGAGTGGTAAAAATCAAAACCATGAAACTGTGGGCCAGAAAACCAAAACACTAATCTGTAAGAAGCTGAAACGCTCCGTGGTGCTGAGGGGGAACCTTTCTAGTTCTGTTATAATGAGCGCTTTTGTTGCCAACATGAACCAACAACGTGACAAGGACACATGTTGGCCTCTGGTAAGGAAACCAAAGTGTGATGAGATCATTAAGTAAAATAAATAAATAAATAAACAATTACTTTTTATATAGACATTATACTTATACAGTATATGTACTATTACTAGTGGTAGTTCAGTGCAACCTATTATGTTTTAGATATGATGTAATAGGTCTGTCTGACATAGTATGGATATAATAACATGCTTATAGTATAATGTATGATATCTGTACAAAGATGGAACAAAGCTTTTTTATAAATATGTTCTATGGTGATGAGCTTCTGAAATATGTCTGACACAGATGAGTAAACCAGAAATATCCCCATCCTATCCAGGTCTGTAGTTTGCCCTGAAAGAATGATATTCTTCCTGTTGTGAGTTATTGTGTGCCATCAGACCTCTGCAACTCATCCAGACTCTGCTGGACTGACCTGGTCAGTCCTGTAGCGCCAGTCCTGCTGTGACTATCCTATTTACTGATATAGATAAGTGAATTATTCACACACGTTTCTGTAGCAACCCCACAGTCATAGACATGTGTGTCTGACTGAAACAAAAAGTAGAAGTACATCAACTGAATTACAACATTTCTAAACTTCCCTGTACATTTTATTTCATGTCTTTCACTCACCCACACAGTCACACACACACAGTAACACACACACACACACGCTAACACAAACACACACACACACACACACACACACACACACACACACACACACACACTGAGCTCTCATTGATGGACTTACCCACAAAAAGTAGCGCCTTCCAATACTCCATGTTAAAGGCAAGCCAATATCCCCCACACAGACTTTATCAGAACTATGAATTGGTTGTAAATCTGGTTGATGTCCTGTAATAAAAGATCCTGTCGCAACGTTCAAGAAAGATTTGAGTATTTTTCAGACTTCTCAGTAGTCCAAGGTCCATTAAATCCAGAAAGAGAGTAAAAAAAAAGATAAATCCTTTCTCTAGAGGATAATTGTATGGCAGGGGAAATAACTGTGAACCTTCACCGGCTCTCTTGCTCTTTCAGATTCAGACTCTCAGTCTCAGCCCGCCTTCTCTGCCTAATTCCCCACACCTCCCTCCCTCCCCCTCTCTCTCTCTCTCTCTGTCTCTCTCTCTCTCTCTCTCTCTCTCTCCCTCCCTCTCTCTCCCTCTCTCTCTCTCTCTCTCCCTCTCTCTCCCTCCCTCCCTCCCTTTCACGTATCTGTGCGGCCTTGTCTTTGTCACGTCACTCTTTCTTGCTCTTTTCTTTCACTACCATATCTTTCCATGTGAACACGTTTCTCACACTGGCACCCTATCACATTGCTTGCACAAACCCCCCTTCTGTCTACGCCGTCTTTCACATTTCCCTTTTCGCTCCAGTGGGCTCTATTTCAGGAGCTATTCACAACACTCATGAGAGACAGAGAAAGAGAGGAGGGGGGAACAGAGACCGGCGAGAGGCCTATGACTAACGCTCAATCTAAGCAGCTGCTGTACTTGAGTTTTGCCAGTAAGTAATCGTATATCTGTTTCCATTCTTCCCAACTCCTACTCTAAATCTCCTCCTACTTTTCCTCCTTTCCGCCCCTAAAAGTTCAGCCCTTCACCCAATTCCAGTGACAAACTGTTTGCGTTTTCTCAACCCCCCAGACAGCAAGAAAACAGACTGGAGACGGATGCAGGATGACCTCTATTAACGTGAAATTCTCCACAGGACCCCAATCATGTGGTTGAGAGACAACAGGGTTGGATATAACTTGAGTTAAAACTATCCACATACATTTTAATTATATTTCTACATAATGACTGAACTAGTATAAACCAGTAAAGGAATAAGACATAAATATGTGAAGACACTTATGTAAAAGTGTTTGGTTACTTTGGTTTGGCGAGTGCTGGGTGAGTCTAACTACATGGAAACAAAAACTCAATTGCAGCAGCTTCAACTTTAACCGTTACACCCCATCCCCCTCAGTCACTGTTGCTCAATCTGACCAGCACCAATCCAAATTACAATGATAACTGTGACAGGTTTACCGTGAAGAATTCTAAACAATGAGACAAAGACAGGTTTCTCCTTTCTAGTCTGCAACTTAATTGGCTTAATTGGTTTTAAGAATTTAAGTTGGTTAAAAACGTAATATCCAGCTGACGCTTTTAATCTCTCCAGCTGACTTGTATTAACCCCAAATCTTGCATCAGAATGCCATGATGACCACATAAAACACTGGCATCATGTCGAAGGCAAAAGTCAAGTCTATTTTGTTCCATTTTTTACACGTAACTTCAGTGATTGTGTATTGGGGTCTGAGCACAGCCCAAAACTCGGATGACCTATTACTCAAAACTGTGGCTGGATACATCCTGTGTAGACACAGACGGAGGACGGCAGCTGCTGCTACTCTGCTACAGATATCCCGTTTAACCTCCACTTCTGCCAAATGAAGCCAATCTGGAAGTCTCTTAAGACTCGCATTCTCTCTAAAGAACAGCAGGGGGCGACTCCTCCAGTTGCAAAAAGAAGTCTGGAGATGGAAGTCTATGAGAAAATGACCCTACCTTTCCCTTGATTTATTCCCTCAGTGAACATTGTAAACGTGAATTTATGGTCTTAATCGCTAGCTTCAAGTCTTCTTCAACACAGCATGATGTTCGTTTAGTAAATAATTTTCATAGACCAATAATAATTAATAATAGACCATAAAGCGGAGTATGCTTTAGGGCGGGCTTACTGTGATTGACAGGTTGCTGCCGCTACCTGAGCCGTATAAGGCGTCTCTACGTCACTCCTCAGCATTCCAAATAGGGTAACTTCTGTTCATTGGTTGCGGAAAAAAACAACATGGTGTAGGCCCTAATCCAAGATGGCGACGGCAAATTTGAGGCTTCAAAACAACAGTCCTTAAACCAATGGGTGATGTCACGATGACTACATCCACTTCTTATATACAGTCAGGCGTGTAACGTGACTGTGGTCGCAGTAGTGTAACTTCCCCAAATCCATTAAAGAGCCAGACAGAGCCAGCATTGTGGCTGATAGCATCAGGGCTGCCTTCAATGCAGCTGGGAAATATCACACAATGGATGTGCTTGTTGTGGACAGGACTTTTTCTTTTGCATACCCTAATTAAGTTAGTTAATGGCAGTGAGCTAGTTAGCTTAACAAGCTAACGATAGAAGCTTAAGTTGGAGCAGATAAACGATGCGTCTGATCCATGTCTATGTCTTGTTCAGTGTACGTATTTAGATTAGAGCTGTGAATCTTCGCTTGCCTCACGATTCTGTCAACGATTCTCGATAGGCTACATTCAGATGCGTTGAGAATCTACACGCTACACCACACTACAGCATACGGCTACTTTTTAAAGAATTAATTCAAGCAGACGCATAATCTGAACTCCCTTTATTCAGAAAGTGCTTTCAGAAATCAGACTACACTCAATACCAGTATCTGTTTGAGCCACCTCACAAAAACAAAACATAAATGTTTTTTCAGTGCATTAGCAGCTCTAAGACAGCGCAATGAATGCTTCTGGCATTTTACACTGCACAAATTAGCCAAGCTAATTTCTGTTACCGGTCAGCACAGTACAGTCACAATTCATACCGTGGGGCGAATACGTATCATACCTTTTACACGCTCCACCCCTACAGTCAGTTGAATTTTGCTCTACTTCTGATGCAAAAAGACACAAAAACATAGATGCAAGACACAGCAGCTGTAAAGGATATTATCTGAGAGTGAGTTGAGTAAGAACATAACATAATGTGCAGGACATTTAGATTTAGACCTTTTCCAGATGTGTGATAAAATAGTAGTCATGTTTCCCTTGCAGCATACAAGAACAGATTCTACCACATGCCAAACTCACACGCTTGTGGTATAAATGATGTAGATAGGTTATCTTTCTGTCTGCTGTTTCCAGTAAGTAGTAACACAGTTGTTACACAACACACTATAGCTGTTGCATGCAGTGGCAGTAATTTCCACAGCAAGCCGCTTGTGTGTCCTCAGCCTTTCTCAGCTTGTTCACAGAGAGAGAGAAACGCTGGTTGATATGACCTCTTTTCCTCCCTTCAGTCTCTCATTGTCGCTCTCTTAAGCGTCCTCTTGACTCTCTGTCATCATTTCTCATCATATTCACGCAGACAGAGGAGCAGACATACAGAGACAAATGAGTAGACGCCTGGAGACAGACAAATCACCCGCACATGTAGGCAGGAAGAAGATGAGAGGATGCAAGTTCATGTCAGCTCAGCATCTCCAGTAAACAAAAGGCTGAATAAAAGCAGATGCTTTTATACTGCATTTCAAACAGTATCTGTACGAATATATACTCCAGTGTTTCCACATGGAAAGCTCCAATCTGAGTGTTTGTGTGTGTTCATGTTGGCAGCTAGCAAACATTAGTCCCACATGCATAAAATGGACGTCAGCCCATTGTGACCATTAGTCATCCAAAAGGAAAAACTGTGAGAAAAATGCAATCTGAAAAATGAATGACAAGTTGCAGTGATCATTAGAGAGTAATGACAAAGTTGAACGGGGGGGGGGGGGGGGG